TTAATAAAATAATCATTTTTATAAAATGTAATTAATTGTAATCGAAATCATTTATTAGAATACAAAATTTATACATATGTATTATTATGAAATAAAACTGTGATATATTTTGTATGTATAATGTATACCTGATAAATTATAATACTTGCGCTTAAAATAATAATTGTCACAAATACAAGGTACATTTTTTTATTTACTAACATCATATAGTTTCTCGTTTGTTAAAATTTTATTTAAAACATTTGATTGTTCTGGAAAAGTTGTTTTTCATAATTAAATAGATCTCTTCTATAAATATCTTAATTACAATTTCGAACAATTTCATCAATAATTTGTTTAATAAAAATTCAAAATACTGATCATAAATTTACCACTAGTATTACGTGAATCTTTATTGTGAGAATTGAAAAGTAAAGAAATTTAATGAAAAGTATAAGTAATGTATTTAAATTTTGTTAAAAATGTAGAAATTATACGACTTGGCAAAAAAACTGGATGACATTGTTCATTGCTTATAAGTTATTGATAATGAGAAAAAAATCACTTTTTTCACATTTATAAACAATCAATAATTATCCTTTTGCATAGCTATTTATAATGATTATAAACAAACAGTAACTGTGAACAAAATACATGGTACAAGGCAGGATATCCTGTAACGATCAAGCTATTTAAGAATTCTGTATGTGGAGTGCTAAAATAATGTAATGTCCTTGAAAATCACGAATCATGTAAATAATCATACACTGAGTGAAATATCTAGTCGACCATCCCACTCCTCTTTCCCGAGAGTTCGAGAACACAGCATCTCCATCTATGCTGTTAAGTTCGAAAATACGACTGTAACGCGCAAAATTATAAAATCTTTTTACCAGTCGAATTAAGGAATTTATTAAAAAATTCAAATTTTACCAAAGAAATATATATCTTCTATAGTTCATTTTCAATTGTGCACGAAATATAAAATTAGTTTACAAATATATTATATTTTGATATTTTTACATAATTTATTCCTGAAACTCTCCATTGTTATTAAATATTACCTAATATTTGTGTACAATTACAACTGCGCATTTTATTACGTATGTAATATAACGTAACGAATTAAATCCCAGTAGTTCTTTAATATCTGCGAGCTTGAGTTTACGTTGGATCTCTTATCCGGGTAGTGTCTTATGAATTACTCTACAAACCTCTAAAGCGTGGAATCTTTGATACCTCAAACAAAAAGCTACAAACTATAATACGACATCCTTACACCTATTAAAATGATTTAATCTCTAACTTTTAACAAATCAAATATATCCACTGAACCAAAATAATATCTTTCAATCAATAAATTAAAATTTATTTTCATAAAATACCATTTCGTATGAAATACAAAATTCATTCCTCATTTTATACGAAAACTTTTACAGTTATATAATCGAGAAACATTTCTCAAGACAATTCCCATAATCGTCTCAAGAAACGTACAATAATCAACTGTTAATGAATTAAAGTTCAATACGAAATTTCAATGTACGTAAATTGTATGTATATAACAAATTTTATTAACAAATAAATGTTTTGCTAAACGATTGAAATGACGTAGATAGTGATACAGATATCGTTAGTCTAATTAATATTGCGATATTACTCGAATTACGATCGATTTTATGTTTGCAGTTTATGAATAAGAATTCCGATCAGCCATGCCATTTGGTGTCGTGCAATGTCGGCGTCTACCCTTATGCATACGATTTCAATATTCTACTATACATCTAACGCACAACTTTCTTAGGATCTATAAATGCAAGTCGGTCATGGTTACGACCACGATTGCGATCAGGATCACGATCACAGGCACGGTTACAGTCACGCTCCTGACTTCTATTTGACGGTCAACGAACTTTCTCAGTCTTTCTCTTTTCCTCTGTCCGTCTTTCTCTTCTGCCCATCAGTTACAGTTTCTGTAACGACGTTGCAGGACGCATCTAGGTTATCTCAATATAAATTTTTGTCCTTGACAAGGTTAGAAAGTCTATGACCGCGAATTATTGCCAACGACACGTTCGATGCAAAAAATGTTGTAAGTGAAGAATAAACAAGAAACATTTCTTTATTATACGAAGCCAAGTTTGCATTTCTCATATAAATGTATACATGTATATATATGTATATGTATATGTATATATATATGTATATGTGTATATATATATTATTTATTGATTGCACGTCAAAGTGGATATAGAATAACGTTCCTGCTGTAATCACCATCGTATTATTTAGTAACTATCTGTAAATCACAATCATTTTTTTTAATGCGTCCAATTAAAATTATTATACCGTTTAGAAAATATCAAGATGCAATTGTTAGGGATATTAAACAAAGTGTAATATCACTGCAATTTCGTAAGCGTAAAACGCGCGGATAAATGGTCGCAATTAATTGCGAATGCGAAGAATGAAATTTAGAATTGTTCTGCGTCCGCGATTTGCGAGAAAAAAACCAAATTAGTGTAAGCCACTCGTTAGACACGCTCGGAAGTTTCAGACTTCCTGAACGAAATAGGAATAAATTCTGATTACTCTATTAATTCGAACAGGTTTTTTTGAAAGTTGCACACATTTCATAAATTATGCCAAATATTGCATAATTTTTAACAATATATTTTCATTAACTGCATATCGTTTGCATTCTTCTAATTAACTTTTTCCATTCGATCGCAGGATAATGAATAAACAGGTAATCGTTGTTAATCGTTTTATTAAACATACGAATAATGTACAAATGTATATCTGAAACGTTCGTAACGATTCGAAACGTTTGAATTTTCTTTGCAACATACTTTTCTTTCGCATAATAGAAAGGAATGCAGCGCTAAGCGGAAAATTATGATTGCACAGTCGAGTATGCTGATTTCAAATATTTTTCGACGAAATTTAGTTCCTTGGAAATGTGCCTTTACACGACACGACATATCAAAGGAGTGTAATAGGTAGACGAAACACGAGATTAAGCGAATCAACGGAAATTTATGTACGTCCATTAACTTTGCATATTTAATAAATTGTACCGTTCGCGGTAACGTTGCTCGAAAATGTTAACCGTGTACAGTTTATTATTTTAGATTGATGATCCTTCGAGTGGCAAAGAATGTTCTCTAAAAACGTTAATTACCATCGCAGAAAGTCTATATCATGGCACAAATAGAACGAAATAACTGTATATCGTTTAACTGTAAACTGTCTGTGGCAGTAAGATTAAATTACCAATTATGTATATAGTTTCTGAGCGTTTATACACACTTGTAACTCGTGTAACATTATGTTCTGTGGATACATATACGTTGCACAAATTCATAAAATATATATAAATGTCAAAAGATTCGTTAATTAAACAACGATTTATCATCGAGTAATTCCAACGTTTTGTAGGGCAACTGAATTGTTCATAAGATTTAGTCGATGAAATTTATCATTACTCGTTACTATAAAATATTGAATACCTTAACATTTAAAAATAAATCGTCTGTTTCAAATGTAACCCAAGACTCAGTCATCTAATTTACTCAACGAGATTTTACATTTTTCACTACTGAAACTTTATTATCATAACCTGCAACAATGGTAATTGTAATTCTCCATAAAAATGTTGCTAATAAAAATGTAAACCAATTTTGAAGGGCAATTTGTAAAAGAAAAATTCGTTTTAACCCCAAGCGTTGTACCTGTATTTATCCTATCATCGCAAACATTACTTGTTACCTTATTAAATTATTAACATAACAGCGAGTCAGACAACTTCACACTAAACGCAGATAGCTGCGTTAAATCGCTTATCCGAAAATTATACGAAATCTACCTCTGTTCTCGAGATTGCAAGAACAACCAGTAAGATTAATATTAAAAATCATTAAATGGCCGAAAGGAACAGTGGGGGAAAAATTGCAGTGCAGTGGCTACTGAGAAAATAGCGATCGCGAGGTAGGGTCGTCGATCCACAGTTCACGGCCCTCCGGAAAGTCGACAGTTCGATGTATGCCTGTTCCCCACCGTTCCCTCTTTCTCTACCCCCTATCTTTTACTATTCTCTTATTAAAACGGCGCACGCGCGATATCCTGACAGAATTACACAGGGCCGTACAAGGACATCGGAAATGCGTTCTAGAATCTGTTCGTTTGTCGTCCAGTAAATATCACACGCCCGTCGGTCAACGATCCAATTACACCATAATTTCATCTAAATCCACTTAATTAACATCAATCGATTCGACGAGAGACGTTGTTTAAAAATATATGTATCGCAATAAAGTAACAGGATCGAGACTCTAACGACTCGCACAACATTCTGTCCTATGCACAGTCCTGATTTCGTACCGTGGTCCGGCGCTGCGCATGCGTCGGATGTCCTACGGGATTCTTTACACAATCAGGAGTGAACGAGCGAGTCAAGTCAGTCGCCGGGTATCTTTGTTGTGACGAACGTAATTTGTTGCTCGTGACTCGCACTTCCTCCGCATACTTTCCTGTCTCTTTTCCAGTATTTCTGCGCAACAACTACACTACACTTCTAACTTCTATTCCGTTTCTCTATCCGGTGAGTTTTCCAGCAGATCTGCTTAGTAACAGGAACTCCGTCTCCGTAATGTTAGAATTTAAATAGACGCGTTTGATCGTTCGTTCGGGGCCCGAGTAATGTAGAGATCGCCGGAATACCGATCATTTGTTTTGTCAGTTGTTGCCGGTCCTTAAATGAAACCGTTCAGTAATTGTTCGAACGCGTGCTGCGTCTCGACCTATTCAATCCTTTTCATTGAGCCATTCGGTTTCGAACACGTTCGAACGCATTATTTTTCATGCATCACGTCGCGTGTTGTGACATTTCTGCATCTGTTAAATGTTGTCTCCCCGGGAGCTTTCGCGTTGAAATATTCGAGATCTCGGGAATTTTATACACGCGAATTTATGAAGTATCTATTCATTTGAAATTTTTAATTAATGCGTATTTTAATATAAACTCCTGAAAATTATTGATCGAGTTGTTTTAGTCTCCTCGACAGGATGTAACACGGTTGTTTTCAAATTTGGCAAATGAGCTTTCCGGCAGTCTCATGGCCTTCCCGTGGTATTTATTGATTTTACATTGCGCTTTAATAAATCAGTTTTCGGCGTTGAATTAATTTTCATTGTATTTTGGACATTTGTACATTTTAGTAATTTTCTCGTTGCAACGGGAAGTTCTTTTTGAAAATGGTAGGCACGTTCGAACGAAGTATTTTGACTTCCCGTCTAGTAGAGCTATAAACAAAGTAACGAATGAAATAATAAATTTCATTGCAGTTTCATTGCACCGAATATCAGTTAACAGCTGCATATTGCATGTCTCGAAACGGATTTAAACTCTACGCCAGCACAGAAATGTAACGAAGCTTAAAAATCTCGGCAAGAGTTGAAATAATGTATTTATTTTTAAGTGGAAAAAATATTTCGATATTTCACCTTAAATTTAAAAAAAGAAGCTCTTGGAAAAATTATAAAATAAATATATTTGTATTCGAAACGAAACGAAACGAAACAAAAATCTTGAGAATTAAAATAACCATATATTTATTTTTAAGTGGAAAAAATATTTCGATGTTTCGCCTTAAATAAAAAAAAGAAGCTGCCGTAAAAAATATAAATATATTTGTATTCGAAACGAAACGAAACGAAACAAA